TATAATTTACAAGAGACAAGAGCCATATTATAAGTTAGTCTAGTTCAGAGGTGCCCATCAAAATGCAATGTTGTAGAAGTCCAAGGGCAAAAAAGAAGAGACTTTAAGAGTTAAAAAAACTGCAAAGCCAGTTTCAAGAAAGTTGTGACAGTAAATGAAATGCTAATAAAATCAGAAAGCAGTGTTTCGTAGATTCTGTTTGACCTGTATTAAAATGAAAATGGTTCAACAACACAATATGTTATGTTATCCTTAAGAACTTCATTTTTTTTTTTTTAATATGTGTTTATTCCTAATTTGATGCCTGCATCATTTTCCAAAAACATTGGGACAGGATGATGTTAACCACTGTGTTACATCACCTTTAAGAACACCTAATAATCATGTAGGAACTAAATTAACAAACTAATCCAATCTTGGATTAAAAATATGTTTACAAAAACAATTAAGCTGATAAGAAACAAAAAAAAAAATCAAATATATTGCCTTTGTGCTGTTGTTATTCAAATATAAATCTAAGTAGATTTACAAATCTGTTTCTATTTGCATTTTACCTACTGTTCCAACATTTTTGGAAGTGGTCTTGAATAATGTGCTGCTAAAGTGTTTCATGGGTCATGGCTTATGGGTGTTAAATTCATAAATAAATGCAAATAATAAATAAGCTCAAATGTAGACTTCAGTGAGAACGGATTAAGTGCAATTTTCCTTCATTGCTGGTTGTCAGTGGACTCTGAAGTAGCCACGTTTGCTGTTAATTAGATTTATTTCATGCTAGCACAAGGCTGTTCCAGATTTTTCGCTATCTTGCTGTGTGTGGTTACAATTGCACATTTGCTGCAGCATGTTTTCTGCTAATGAGCAAGTATGAGTGACAGAGACGTGAGTAAAGTGATTGTAACATTTTTGAAATAGAGATAAATGCAAAGTTATTGTACTTTGCGGTGAAACATTTTAAGTTAAATTAAAAATGTAAAAATTGATTTTTCTATTGCTGCTGTAAACATACTTCTGTAATAATCTACCCCACAAATCACAAAAGTACAGCCACTAAAATCTCAGTGAACATCCTTTTAGTAATACTACAGCAGATTACAGGTAATAATAGATCATTTATTGAGGTAACTGTATTTGATATTTTACAGTGAGTGCTGTGGTAAACCTGTTAATCCTGTTATAATCCTGTTATATAAAAATACATTTTCCAAAGAAGCAGTTGAGATTGAGGGCAATTCAGACTGATTTGTTGTCTATTATTTTCTAAAAGCTTTGAAAGTGAGCAACTCAAAAGCAGAAAAAAGGAAAAAGCACACAAAAAACTCAAATTCTATTATATTGAGATATTTATTGATATGTGTTTTTATGTTGGCTCAGCATCACCGCCTACACATTTATAAGTAGAAAGTCAGTCAATTGCCCTTATTCATCAAAGTGTGTGTGTGTGTGTGTGTGTGTGTGTGTGTGTGTGTGTGTGAGGGTGTGTTTGTCTATTGTTTAAGAAATCAGTTGGTAGTGCTGCTCAAGCTACTCATCAGTCTAGCAGTGCAGTGTTTCTAATGTCTTCAATCAACAAGTGTTGAAGAATATAAACAGATCTCACATGTTTACAGTTGTGTCCCCAGGACCCTGCTATGTATAGAACAAAGCTACACTGACTGAATATTTGATTTGAGCTTTAGTGCAGAATAAATGGCTACATTATAATGTTACTGTATCAGCTTCTTATTTACCCTATTTTTACTAATACTGCAACTGAATACAATAAAGGGATATAAACAGACTGTATCACAACCATAACATGTCTTTAAACAATAATTTGCTGATCAAAAGATTCTGCTGTTCAGTCTCCTAATATATTAAGTGTCTAATAACTGTGTAGTTACACATTAACAACACTTTGCAACACCAGTGTAACTACTGGTAATGTAAACAGTTTTACAGATGGATACAGTTTCTCAACGTTGGTTTTGGAAACCCACTGTCCTGCACATTTTAGTGCTTTTCCTGCTTTAACACAGACACTTTATCTCTATATATGGCTGTTAATGAGCGGATTGTTTGGATCAGGTGTGATGGGCGCAGAAAAAGTGCAGGACAGTAGGCCTCCAGAACCAGGGTTGAGAAACACTGGATCACAGTAGTACAGCTTATGTGCATATACATGTAGCAACTTTTACTTATATTATTACACAAGTCTATCTTGATAGTGCAGCAGCATATCTTACATAGTTATAAATGTATAATAGGGTGAGGGTAATGACATTTGTATGCAGGGTATTTACCTAAATGAAATGTCTAACTTTCCTAACGTTTTGCTAACTGCAGTGGGGTGCATGTGTGACCAGTGTTCTTGCTTTAAAAATACACATTTAAATTTAAAAGATTTTATATCTTTATTTAGGTACAGTGAAATTACAGAATGGTATTAATTGGTCATGGGGCTCACTGCACAATGTAACACAGGCAGCAACCCACCAACCAGTGGCAGGAGGCACTCCTAGACCGTTCCTGCCACCAGAGGGGGGCAGAGAGTGGCATACTAGGTAATCACTGGCAACCAGCTCCACCTGTGTGAGCTCTACTTAAGGAAGCTCTGCCTGAATCCCGTGCTCAGTTTTGAGTCTGACATGCTGAAAGCTGGTGGCTCTCTCTGGCTGGCAACTTGGATAAAAAAAACAATTTGGTGTGGAATGGACATTACATAATTCTTGTGAACTGTAAAATAAGTGAACACATCCTGTGCCATTATAAATACAGTCACAATACAGAATTATTTAAAGCAAGAGCTTTGGTTACCAAGCATAACACAAGTGTATTACAGCTAGCTAAATGTTAGGAAAGTTGGTGTTTACTCTGCAGATACACTGTAAGTACTCTTGTAATGTAGGTTGTTACAATCACCATTATACAATTGTGTGCTATATATATATATATATATATATATATATATATAGCATGAACATGATATATATGATATATTACATGATATATTACATGAACAAAACAAGGTAATTGTAGATCAAACTAAAATAATGTAAGTTCTTATAGACAGGAATTTTCAAAGAATATTCCAATGTATTACAATTCACATTTTCCACATGCAAAACAAATGAATTATAAGTAGCCCACATTTAAAGTTCATATCATGTTGAAATATGGTGTATGGGTTTTAGAATGGCTTAAAACAAACCTGAAGGAAAGAAAAATGGAAAATGAAAGATTTTCTTTCAAAACACTGTGAGGTTTCAAGATTTTTCTTTTTTTTATGAAATACATTATTGAGAGTGGACTTTAAACATACAAAACATATCAGTGCTATATTTGGCCAAATAACACCTTTATTAGAGAAATGAAAGTATTTTTCGTCCTACTTACCTAATATTAAGTAGTGTAGTTACACAGGAACAACATATGCAACAACAATGTAACTACTAATGGTTTAGTCACTGTTACAGATGGATTACAGAAGGACACCTTATGCAATTACACACATGTATCTACTTCAGTTTTGCCTCAGTGTATCTTAATAGCTGTAACAGCCTATTCTCTCATGTAATTACACACGGGCAATAACTTAAACGTAATTACATTTGTAATCACACTGGAACAGCAGTTTTTTTCTTTTTCAGAAGTGTTTTTTACATTGAGAGTTGCAAATTAATTGGTAATAATAATTAAGTAAAAATGTGTTATTTATATATTAATGACTGCTTATTAAGCATTAGTTACTGATTAAGTACTTAGTAATTAGTAATTGAGTGTTAACTGACACTGTTTAGTTTTTCACAAGTTAATTACTCACTGACTGTGTACTACCTGCTGATTAATACACTGATAATGAACTGATAAGTGTGTTTACTCACATAAGTAAGATGAGAATTAGTACTTACTTATATGTTAATCTCATTAGTTATCTGTTAATTTATCTACTAATAGAATGTAATCACTGAATTGCCACTTTGTTTCCTTCCCAGTAAAGTGATTATTCTTGTTATTAATTATACTATGAAGTCATGATTAAGACTTGACTAGTTTTTGATATCTTAATTTCTCTCTAGTTGCTTTTGTGTCCTCTTAAATAAAGAGGAAAATACAGATACATTATCAATTAACATTTAGTCTGTTAAATTCTAGCACATCTCATATGACAAGTTGTTTAAGGATCCAGGATTGGGTCTCCATGGTATCCCTCCAAAAAGAACACAAGATAATAGTATGACAGATGCTGTCAATATGTGTATGTCATTCTGTTGCTTATAAACACAGCTGTCTACATCCATGTCTTTGAATATGCATCCTGGGTATTAGGCCTGACCAGTATGTCCACTTAAGTTTCCTCTGTGATTCACAGTGAAGTGTGTACAGGCTGCCCTTAATCATGAGTTTGTAGTAAAATTAATAGATTAGTAGTGAAGATCATCACTTTACTTGAAGGCACACATAAAGCAGTAAGTAATGGTTCAGTAACATGAAGTAAGGAGTAATTAACTGAAAATGTAAAGACAATTCTGAGGACAGTGAAGCAGCTGAATTTGTGGAGGTGAAAGTAAAGTGTCCAGTACAAACCAAACACTGTGCTCCACACAAGACTGAACAGTGGAGGGAAATGTAATAACAGATCAGTAGATAAATTAACGGTATTAGCACGTTAGCTCTCATGTTATTTATGAGTAAACATGCTTATCAATTCATTTTCACTTTAATAAACAGAAGTTCGTACTCAGTTAATGAGTGAATAATCTGTGACCTAATGACAAACAGAACTATCAGTTAACATTGAACTCAGTTACTGATTACTAAGTAATTAATCAGTAACTAATGCTTTGTAAGCAGGTAAATAATATGTAAATAATGAGTATGTACTTTATAGAATACAGTTATCAATTCATTTGTGAACGTTTATGTAAAGCATTACAAATTACTGATGCATCAACGTAAGGAGTGCGTTTGTAAAATTTTAATGCTATTAATTATGTTTTTTGTTGTAATTTTCCAGAACCATGCTCCACCTCTTGCTGCTTTTGGGTGAGAATACTGTTTGTGTGTTTGTGTATAATATTCTGTCTTCTCGCTTGCTAAACCTGCGAGACACTTCATTAAATATATAGTTAATTTCTCTTTTTGTTCTTGAACTCTGTATTTAAATGTAAGCTTAACAATTGGTCTTTCTAACTTCCTGAAAATTCAAATTATTATTCAGTTCTTCGTTAAAGGTTAGATTTCGCTCATATTTTCAGTGTGAGATTGATATATGTAAATGAGCTCTATTCTGCCTCTGCTAATGTTGTAGTGCTCGTGCCTGCTAGCTCGGCAGATAGATAACAGGTTCTTCCAAAGAATTCCAAGAGGCCAGATTTTAACGACAGGAATGTTTACTCAGAAGAAGCACTGTAAAACTGAAACAAATGAAATATGCATTACAGTACACCCATGTGTCGAGCTCGCTTTGCAATACACATTACCAAATAACTCTATACTTTGTACAAAGGATCTAGGATGTAAGAATGCACAAGAATCGCCATCAAAATAACAGTATTTAGCTTGATGCTAATATGAATGGAAATTCTCCTAGACATGCTAACAAATTAGCGCCATTTTCTACGACGTGAATGTAGTGATTACTTCACACACATCGCTATTTTTTCCACAAAGGAGGTACATAAGAAAACTATCTTGTTAAGAAAATAAAGATATTTACTCACAGACATAAGCCTTTCACGACCTAACAATAGAAGTTTGGCTTGGAAAAAATGTTGCTTCTCTGCAGCATTGTACTCAAAGGCTGAACTACGGCAACTCTAAAGGTACAAACTTAAGGCAAACTGCTATAGAATATAACCACTAGAGGTCACTGTTGGGTAACAGACAGCACAAGCTCTGTTCTCATTGGCTGTGCCTCATTCAAAAAACAGTCCAGGCTGAAACATTCCTTATAACTTCAATGTGAATGGACAGCTGAAGACACAATACATGTATACACTGTACAGCCATATGCAAAAGTTTTGTCACACCTGGATAAATTCCATGTTCAAAGTGAAAATGAGTGAACGCGTCCACTACAGAGCATGAGCTAAAATATATGGCCTACTAGGCTTCTATTGGTTTGATAAGCTAATACTGTGGATGAAGATGCTAGATGTTTGATGTGTAAAATGACTTTGTGTCTTTAACAGGGTTTTGCACCCTTGGAGTTTGTCTTCCTCGTCAGTATCACTTTGTGAATGACTACAAGACCTGGTATGAAGCACAGAGTTACTGCAGAGAGCTTTATGTCGACTTAGCAAGCATTGATAGCCTTGAAGAAGGGCTGCAGCTTATTAGCTTAGTAAACATCAGGAACATTATCCCAGCCTGGATTGGACTGTATGATGATCTGAACATCTGGAGATGGTCTCTGGAGGATGATGACTTCTACAAGGGGAATGAGGGAAAGTTCAGAAACTGGTACATAGAGAAACCTACAAACCGGTATGGAAACCACCTCTGTGCCCTTTATTCAACTACAGATATGACATGGGCTGAATTGTCTTGCTCTTCTGAGTTCCCATTCATATGTTATGATGGTAAGCAAAGTAATATGTTCTATACTATGTGACTGTGTACATGAATGTGTGTCTGTAATTTCTATGATATATATGCTCCATCACTGTTGGAATAAAACCTTGTTACTTCATTTTTGTTATTTTCTTTCTTTTTTAAAAACATTTGAAAATAAAATGCCCTTCTTTAAAGTTACAATTTTGGAAATAAGAGGTTTTGTTGCAACAGTGACAATATCTACATACTGTGTTAAACTTTCCTAAAAGTACCAAAGCAAATTGTTTTAACTCATTTATCTGAAGCTCAGTGCAGTTATGATATATTGAGAAACTTTCAAAACAGCAAATCTGTGATGTAGTGCAATCACATTTCTTATCCTAATAAAGACACTGTCTTGAAATACTTTTGACCACTGAATGTTAGAATCCTACATACTTAAAAAAATGGTTCTTCAAGGGTTCTTTAGTAAAGAAAATGGTTCTATGTGGAACACCCTAAGAACCTTTTGCCTGACAAAAGGTGAAATTATTTGCATGGTGAAATCGTTCTTCAGATTGATGGAGTGTGAGCTATAGATGTAAAGTGTTCTGTATATCTATATAGTTGGTCAGTTGGCAGTGTTACTGCGCTTTCAGCTGACCAAAATCCTTTGTTTTTTTTCATGTCGCAGGCTTATTAGCTATTGAGCTATTCTTAGGTTACAGTATAAAACTTTGGGCCCCCTGGTGGGCCTATATATATATATATATATATATATATATATATATATATGTATATAAGCTCTTCTGTCTAACCTATGAACTATTGCATTTGTTTGTTCCTCTCAGGAAGTGTCAATGCCACTGAAAGATATGTTGTGGTTTCTCAGTACATGAACTGGACTGAAGCTCAGAGTTACTGCAGAGAGTTTTACACGGACCTGGTCAGTGTGAGGAACGACACTGAAAACAGGAAGTTAAAATCAGTATTTTTAGCAACTTTTACTTATGCTTTTTATACATATGATACATGGATCGGCCTTTATAGAACCAGCTCTTGGTCAGATAGGAGCAACTCTTCTTTCAGCAACTGGAAACCAGGACAACCAGACAATGCTGGGGAGAATGAACACTGTACAGCTGTGTCATTCAGTGACTTTGGCCAATGGACAGATGAAAACTGCATTCATACACTGCCATTTCTCTGCTACAGTGGTGAGTAGACTTCTTTAAGAAATGTACCACATAATGCCAAACCTTAGGAATATGAAACTGCTCATCAGTGAAATATTGGATGAATTTTGTTCCTTTTTTACAATATATAAAACAACCTCCACAAATGGTAAACATGAGCAAAACAGGCTGTAAATGCATTCTTATTGCTCATGCTTTTGATCTTTGACTCAAAATATTATCAAAAATTTAACCTTAGTAAAATGATTGGACAAAAAAAAAATCTTATCTGGAAATAAATATTCTTATCAAATCTGGGTGCGCCACAATTGTTGACACCCCTTCATTTAATACTTTTTGCAGCCTCCCTTTGCAAAGATATCAGCTCTTCTTCTTCTTTAAAGCTTATTGAGACTGGAAAACACTTGGCAAAAGAACTGATTCCTCCAAAAGGAACCTCTCCAGATCCTTAAGATTCCAAGGTCCACAGCATGGACTGTCCTCTTCTGCTGAACCCACATTTTTTTATGGGATTTAGATCAGGAGACTGGAGTTGTAATGGCAAAACCTTAATTCTGTGGCGAGTAATCCATTTTTTTTTTGTGTGTGTTGATTTTCATGTGTGCTTTAGATCCTTGTCTTGCTGGAAAATTCAGAATATTATATATATATATATATATATATATATATATATATATATATATATATATATATATATATATATATATAAAGTTTAAGCTTTCTGGCTAAATCAGTCAGGTTTTGATTGTATATTTGCTGGTATTAGATGGACTCTGCCATACTGTGTACAGTGGTGTTTGAAAATTTGTGAACCCTTAAGAATTTTCAATGTTTCGGCATAAATTTGAACAAAAAATCTACTGGATTTTCCCACAAATGTTAATGTTCATGAATCCACCATCAGTAGAGCACTGAACAACAAAGGTGTGCATGGCAGGCTTGCAAGGTGAAAGCTGCTGCTCTCCAAAAAGAACATTACTGCCCGTCTGCAGTTTGCTAAAGATGACATGGACGAGCCTGAAGGCTACTGGAAAAATAGGCTGAATGAGATCCAAACTGATCTTTTTGGTTTAAATTAAAAGTGTTATGTTTGGAGAAATGAAAACACTGCATTCCAGCATAAAAACCTTGTCCTATCTGTGAAGCATGGTGGTGGCAGTATCATGGTTTGGCCCTTTTTTGCTGCGTCTGGGCCAGGATATCTTGCCATCATTGATGGAACAATGAACTTTGAATCATACCAGCCAGTTCTAAAGTAAAATGTCAGTGAGCTGAAACTCAAGAGGACATGGGTCATGCAGCAAGACAATGATTTTACTCTATGGAAACATTATGGAAGGACCTAAAACAAGCAGTCTGTGTGAGGAAACCCACAAACACAACAGAGTTGAAGTTGTTTTGTACAGAGGGCTAAGGGACTAATCAAGAGTTGCCAGATACACTTAGTTGCAGTTTTTGTTGCAAAAGGGGGTCACACCAGATACTGAAAGCAAAGGTCCACATACTTTTGTGCCTCACAAATATGTAGTATTGGATCATTTCTTCAATAAATATATGACAAAAGTCTAATATTTTTGTAATATGTATTGAATTTGGTTCTGTTTATCTACTATTAGTACTTGTGTGATAACCCTGTGAAGTTTTAGGTGAAATTTATGCAGAAATATAGAACATTTTAAAGGGCTCAGAAACTTTCAAGCACCACTGTATCTGAACAAGTTGTCAAGGGCCTTTAGAAGAAAATCAGACCCACAACGTCACACATCCACCATCATACTTCACAGTGAGGATGAAGTGCTTTTCTGCATGGCTGTCCTTGGGTCTATGCCACACCCTGGTGTTTGTTGGGAAAAAACTCTATTTCGATCTCATCTGACTACAGAACAAAGTCCCTGTTCTTGACAGTGGAGGCTTTCTTCTGGCAACCCCCCAAACTACTTGTGGGTACGTAGGTGGTTTTTCATTGTAATTTGGGAGATTTCGTGACCCCAAGACCTAACCATTTCACAAATGGAGATTCTTCGTTGACCTCAATCATCCTCCTCACTATGTGTGGTGTCAGTACAGACATGTGTCCTCTTCCCAACAGATTGTTAACATCACCCCTTTTTTAAGGTCTTAATTATTGCCTTGATAGTTGAAATATGGCATTTTTTCTCTGGTCTTTCACACGGTGGATGTCTGATATATATTCCCCAGGAAAACAGAAAGTCATGGCTGACCATTTCAGTGTTCTTAATCTCTCAGGTGAATTTTAAAAAAAAAAAAGTAGGAATGGCAAAATGGTCCAGTTAGATTTCACCCTTAAGGATTTCTGAGAGTGCAAATAATTGTGGCATAGATTTAAGAAAAATATTTATTTCATTACAAGATTTTTTTTTTTGGTCAATCATTGTACCTTAAATAAAGGTTAGATTTTTGCTAATATTTTCAATAAACGATCAAAAGAATTAGTAATTATTAATCTTTGTTATAGCTCAAATTTGTCATGATTACCAAGGGTGCCAATATTCGTGAAGGGCACTGTATAGGCACCAAATACAGAGGAAATTGGATCACTAAAAACTGTAGAAGTAACTCAAAACTCCATGATAGTGAAACTGCACAAAAAAACTTCAAACTGTTGCTATAGTGAAAGTTACAGAACAACTGTGCTGTTTTCCACATGCACATGAAAAGGTTCTTCCTCATCACGTTAGGTTGCCAGATTCATGGTTTTCCTGAGACAGCTGGCTGGTTTGAAAGTGCAGACTGGGTGAAAATTATATAATCATGGGATACATACATGGTGTGAACAATTCTGTTCTAGTTTTTATGTATAGTTTTGATGGAAAAACTTGTGTCTGAATACTTTGCCATTTTGTGCTGTTTTGGGGGGGGGGCAGCAGAGAGGCACCATCACAGTGATTTTTAATACATAAACTCTTATTACAAAAGTGCATGACAACAAAAATCCAACAAATTATTAATAATTTATAGCACCTGTGATTCTGGCTCTTACTCTTACCAACAAGAGTCCTTGGCCAAGACTCCTAACACTACCTTCGCCTACCTGTGTAAAATGATCCAATTGTAAGTTGCTCTGGATAAGACCGTCTGCCAAATGCCGTAAATGTAAATGTACATTGTTTGGAGTGAATCTATACATTTAAGAAATATGTATATTCTCACTACACCCTTTACTTGAATAAGAAAAATGGTATTTTTGTTACAGCATTTAGGAATAAAAATCTTCACATGCCTACACAAGGAGTGTAGATTATTGATGCTTAATGCAATAACTTACAGTTCTACCATTTATATTTCTCTAGCAACATCACCCACATCTGTTCGTCAGTATCACTTTGTTAATGAGAGTAAGACCTGGACTGAGGCACAGAGTTACTGCAGAGAGTATTACACTGACCTGGCCACCATAGATAACATGGAGGAAATGAACATGCTCAATAACACAGCAAATGGCAGCTGCTCTGGTTTAGCCTGGATTGGACTGTATGATGATCTGGACGGCTGGAGATGGTCTCTGGATGATGACAGTTTCTACAAGGAGGGAGAGAGAGATTACAGAGCGTGGACCCATCAGCCTGACAACTATGGTGGAAATGAGCTGTGTGTCTATATGAGTTCTTCTGGGACATGGTTTGATAAATCATGCAATACAAATTATCCATTTATTTGCTATGATGGTAAGAATTTTCTTAATCTACTTCTTTTTGGTTTATTTTCTTCTTTGTAGAAGTTGTTGATCATTTTGTTGATCTATTTTAGGAAGAGCTGGATCTGAGAACTACATCTGGATTACCCAGCGCATGTCTTGGCCAGATGCTAAGCGTTACTGCAGAGAGCACCACACAGACCTGGCCAGTGTGAGGAACTGGGCAGAAAATCAGAGAATTGTTGATATTTCAGGTGGCTCTGATGTTTGGATTGGTCTATATAGGACCAGACAGTGGTCAGACCAGCACAGTTCCACATATGAGAACTGGAGACCAGGTCTGGATTCTGTGCCTGATGAACCAAACAATGGTTTGTCAGATGCTTCTGGCGAATATGGTAACCAGCACTGTACCGCTATATCATTCAGCGATTCAGGCCAGTGGACAGATGAGAACTGCTTAGCCACGCTGCCTTTTGTCTGCTACAGCAGTGAGTTCTTCTTCTCTACTTGTTTCTTTTTAGTGCACTTTATATTTTACTCAGACTGAAGAGCTGCAGTAGATAACACATCCTGTAGAGAACACATCTTCTAAACACTTCACCTCACTTTTAATATGGAAGGCATTCATTCATCGGCCACTTCATTGGGAACCCCAGTCTAATTCAGGGTGGTACTCCCTTTACTCTCAAAACAAGGATTCTGCAAAGTTCTGGTAACATTCTGCTGTGATTCTAGTGTCTGTTGACATGGTTGCAACATGTAATTGCTGCAAATTTGTCTGCTTCACATTTATGCTGTTGAGCTGCTCTACTAAAATAAGATCTGGTAATTTGGGAGGTCATTGTAGCACATTGAACTGACCGTTCTGTTAATACCATATTGATATGATTTATACATCGTGACAAGGCATTATATTATACCGAATGTGGCCTTTAGAACACAGATAAATGGTGTCTTCAAGCAAAAATAAATAAATAAATAAATAAACTTAATTTTTATAACACCTTTCATATGTCACAATTCAGTTTGAAGTGCTTTACAATGACAATAAAAGACAAAAAACAGAAAACATAAAACACAGAGGAAAAACAAATCAAATCAATTCTAATAATCAAAATACTCCAACAAATTCTGAAAATAAATACTTCTATAAATCATAAATTAATATTGAATTTAAATAAGTGATAAACTAATAATAAAATGAGTCAAGAAAAAAGCTGTATGTCTTGTAGAAGCGAGTTCCACAGTTGGTACAACAGGGCATTTCAGTCCATAGAATTTTGTCAGTTGCTTGATTCTGCTTGAAATACTTAAACCACCCCATCTGGCCCAACGACCATCAAAGCTATTTATTTACATTTTTTTAGCATGTACTGATTTTTGCTCTACTGAGCAGGTAAGCAACTATTCCTAATAAAGTGGCCATTGAGTGTGTACAGGAAACAGCTTGTGAAAGTCTTATTGTCTTGTAAAAATTAACAGTACACTTGCACAAAAAAGATGTTCATTTTGCGTTCCTGCAAGCAACATGAGATAATTTCTGTATAAACATGATATGTGCTCTATCTTTTTAATTTTAATATACAGGGTTCTGCACAGGATCCTCATGTGTTCCTCATCAGTATCACTTTATTAATGAGCCAAAGACCTGGGCAGCAGCACAGAGGTACTGCAGAGAGAATTACACTGACCTGGCCACCTTTGATAATGTGGAGGAGGTAAACAGGGTCATTATGACAGTAGGTGGTAGTTACTCTGGTTTAGCCTGGATTGGACTGTATGATGACCTGAACAGCTGGAGATGGTCTCTGGATGAAGATGGTTTCTACAAGGAGGATGAGAGGAACTTTAGAAAGTGGTACACAATGAAACCTAAGAACCCAGGTGGAGAAAGTTTATGTGTGAGTGTTTTACGTGTTGAAGGAACATGGCATGAGTACCCTTGCGATACCACATTAGGATTCATTTGTTATGATGGTGAGTACAGCTGCAATGTGTGTTACACAGGAAAACACTTTCGACATAAAGGATAGAGATAACTTTTCTTTCTAAAATGTTCATAAATGTTCAATTTAGGGAGGGAGGATGCCACAGAAAGATACGCTGTCCATTTTTGGTACCTGACCTGGAATGCAGCTCAGAGTTACTGCAGAGAGCATTACACAGACCTGGTCAGTGTGAGGAATGACACTGAGAACCAGAAGTTAAAATCATTACTGAGGTATCAATATGATTCACATTTTTGGATTGGCCTGTATAGAACCAGGTCTTGGTCAGATAGGAGCAACTCTTCTTTCAGCAACTGGAAACCAGGACAACCAGATAATGCTGGGGGGAATGAATACTGTACAGCTGTGTCATTCAATGATTTTGGCCAATGGACAGATGAAAACTGCATTCATACACTGCCATTTCTCTGCTACAGTGGTGAGTAGACTTCTCTAATTAAAACTTTCCACACTCACAATACATTATTATTACTTTATTAGGTCCCATTGTTTGGATGGTCTCTTAAATATGTCAAATATCAATATCAAAATTATTACTAGTCTATCTATAAGTTGAATTAGGGTTGGGATTAGGAGTTGGACCAAGGTTTAGGATGAGGTTTAGGATTAGATTTTAGATTGAGGTTAAGGTTGGATTTAGGGTCGGAACCAGTAATTTCAGGAGGTTTGTCATTAGCATCAGCACAAAGATATTTAAAGTGACTGATACATCTGTTTAATTCCTGCATTGGTTAAATGCTTTTCTGAGCTGCCAAATGTAATATACATTGGTAGGTCAAATGATATGACACCCTCAAAGAGATCAGGAAACACACGACACACATACCCGTCTTAAACTGGTTAAAAACAGAATCAAATTTGATGCCAACTGCACTGTTGTGTCATTCTTTTCTCTATCCCATAGATAACAAAGGTGACAAGACTGGACTGCTTTTGTTGTACCACTCAACAGTAGATTTGACTAAAATATTTTTGTCAATGTACAAAATTAGCAGAAATCTGCATTCTTACTTAAATTTTCCACAAAGCCTACAACATCTTGAGAGCCTAGGCACAAACCCACCCCTCAAAACATGGCTGCCCTTCAGGACAATATCACTTTTCTCCATCTCCTTAAGGTCTACCATCAACTACCTAAACACTGTTTCTTGCCCAAAATGTTAAAAATCATATTCTGGTGCATTTGATCATTATTTCATATATAATATGGTAGGATATCATGTAGCGTTAAATCAAAACAAGCATGTTATGGATTTTATGGGTTTACCACCTCAAATGAGTCCTGGTAGAGTAACAGGGCTAAAGATGACCCTTTCGTCTAAAGCAAGTACTTCTACAATACAGCCCCAAAAAATCATACATACCATCAGGGCTTGTTCCACATTCTTATACAGTTTCCCAACCAACTCCAGTGGGGAAGTAAACATTTCTTTGAACAGATCGATTGGCAAAGAACTCTTTGGCTGTAAACTGTTTTGAACATTGTTCTTCCTGTTTTAATCCTCCACAAATGGCCTGAATTACTGATACAGGTAACAGCAGCGAAGATTAAAGCTTCAAATAAAATAGTGTCAAATTCTTAAAAAAAGAGAGTTTCATCCACATCCACACACTAAGGACCTCATCTGACTCGCAGTGTTCAGACTCATCAGGCAAAGATGTGTCAAGACTCTGTAGACCTAACAGATTGGCTAGGGTTAACCAGCACTTTTTCCCACAGATGTTCAAATGACCAGTTTTATGTGCTTTAGATACATAAGAGGCAAATGTAGATTTTACATTAAATATATTGTCACATTCTCTGAAACGACAACCATTTTTTTCTGCCTAATTTAAAATAATCTCAACTGAAACTGGGAATGAGAGTCCTTGGGCAAGACTCCTAACACCTTCGCCTACCTCTATAAAATGATTGAATTGTAAGTCCAAACTTAAAACGAATCTTTAAACACATCAAAATAACGCTCTCACGATGATGCTGGATTTCTAAACTGTAGGTGAATGTGGTCATTGTGAGTAAGATCAGGGAGGGAAAGATATTTTTAGTTTTAGGCTATATCTTTTAACCCCTAAAATGGCCCAGGAAATTTGGCCCAAAGTTTTATTACACACTGCTATAATATAAGAATAGCCAGTTTGCAATACATTACTTGCATACTGTACCTGCTAAATATAAGTCTTAGCATGTAATAGGCCTGAGATTTTAAGGAGTTAAATGTTTAAACATAACACTGTTCAAAAACTACAGTCTTGGAAATTCCTTTAATTTCTACTGAAAATAATCTCAAAGAAAAAAAATGTGGTGTTAGTTAATCTGTAGTTACTGCCAAATGGACAGCTTACTGATTTAACTGCAAATGTTTACACAACTCCGAATAAATGAGCTTGGGATTCAAACATGCATTCTTAGTCACTCTTTATTAATTGGACTAAACAACAAATAGATCATCTTCCTTTTCATAATTGTAACAAAGATCCATTAAGATTAAGCATTAACACTGATTTCTTATCCTCCAGGATTGTAGTATCACTTTGTTAATGAGAGTAAGAACTGGACTGAAGCACAGAGTTACTGCAGAGAGTATTACACTGACCTGGCCACCATAGACGACATGGAGGAAATGAACATGCTCAATAACACAGCAAATGGCAGCTACTCTGGTTTAGCCTGGATTGGACTGTATGATGATCTAGATGGCTGGAGGTGGTCTCTGGATAATGATAGTTTCTACATGGAAGGAGAGAGAGATTACAGAGGGTGGTATCGTGAACCTGACAACAAAGGTGGAAATGAGTTGTGTGTTTACATGTCTGGAACAGAGGAATGGTATGATGTTTCCTGTGACAACCAATTTGGATTTGTGTGCTATAATGGTAAGAGTAAAAATCAGTCTCTTACATCATTTCATTGTCTTTTTTATCAGTTGAATGCTTGACCAGCACAGGATCAACACTGAATTTCTCCCCATGCAGAAAACATAACAACTAAATAGTGCACTATGGTAGCTATACATTCGACTTTGTCTGTTCAGTTCCCAGCCAGGCAGCCTAAATGAACATGCCCACATTCTCCTCCAATTGTGATATAAGCATGGGAAAGAACCATTTGTGCTACAACAACAACAAAGCTATGCACTGATGTTCAGTACTGACTGCTTGCCTTATGTTTGAACTCCTATCTTTGCAATTTACCACTTTATGGTCTCATATGTTCTCCCACCCTTAGGTACAGGCACATATTTTTATTTCTCCAATGGAAAGACTTGGGCAGAGGCTCAGAGCTACTGCAGAACATATTACACTGATCTGGCCAGTGTGAGGAATGAGACAGAGATGCAACAAATATTGAGAGTCTCAAATGGGGAGTTAGTATGGATCGGTCTGTATAGAAACCGACTGTGGTCAGATCAGAGCAATTCTACTTTCAAATATTGGAGACTGTCTGCTGCATCAGAAACACCAGAACCTGATAACGGTCTTTATTCAGATGGGCAACATGGAAATCAGCAATGTACAGCTGTGGATCTTAAACATTCAGCCCGATGGACAGATAATAACTGCTTAGCCAGGCTCCCTTTCATCTGCTACAGTGGTAAGGCAACATATATATATATATATATATATATATATATATATATATATATATATATATATGTATAGTTTTGTTTTTATTTAATCTGTTTTGTTGTTCTTTTTACACTGATAAACATAAACAGACTCTTTCATATCAAAGTGAAAACAGATCTCAATACAGTTATTTAAGTCATCACAAAGCTTGTGGAAAACAGCACAGTTTTTCTGGTTGCCTTACAAACATTGTAGCTTAAAATCTGTATTGTTGATGCAGTTTCACCACAGCAGCTGTTTTCAGACTGTTCTATGCAGTTTCTCTGCAACAGCTTTTCTCCAGCTTTTTACTAGGATTGGAAAGGTGTTGCTCACTGGTGTTTAATTTTGGGGGGCAAATAGCCCAATGCGCCCCCTTACTTGGTTCCTAGGTACTCTGTTCTTAGTGGCAGCAAAAAATATAGTTACACGTTTTCTCTTTGTTTTGCCTTTTGTATGTATGATAATGGACACTCCTCACCAAGAAACTCCAGGTAAGAAATGTGAATTTTATGTGCTCAGATGAAAAGTAATCATTTTTAAACCACTGAATGATTAACAGTGAGGAGGTGTTTCCAAATGAGATGTACTGAGACACTGCTGTTTCCTCAGGCCCTGTTGTGGGACTAAGAATGAAAGTCAAAGCTGCAGGGAATCTGGCACAATCTCAGATTAAAGCATTGCTGCTAGAGCAGGTGAGCAGCATATCTGACTGTTCTGTAATTATTTGCTTGTCTAATCTGATGTGAACTGTTTCTACAGAAAAGTAGAGATTTTACAGAACAATCATTAAAACCATTCCACCAAAAAATTAAGAATAATGACATATAATAAATTGCTTTTTTCTTAATAAGTAATAGTTGTACAGTGTGTGGTGTAATTAATGCTTAATATAATCATTACAGAAACTGTTTTACACATATATAACAAACTGTTTGTGTTAACATGAATGCAAAAAGTAAAATTTAGTTTGAAGATTGTTTTTTTTTCCTCCTACAGCTACAACATGAATTTGGTGCACTGGGGTTTCCCAGCAACTTCACTGTGAAAGTAAAAAATCTCAGTAAGTCCAGTCCATGAGGGAGGCAGAAAACCTTCGAATTCACCAATACTTTGTCCTTCATTTTCTGTTCAGCTACTCAGGAAATAATGGTGGTTGGAATGCTATAATAATCATACAGAGCTGTAAAACTTTACTATGTACTGTACTTCATTTAGATTATAAACAATGGATGAACTATTATACCAAAAAAAAAGCAACATTTATAGGGGAACTTCATGTATTGTATAATATCACTACAAAAATAGTCACTGCTGAAACTTTTGGTAAAGTTTCGGTAGAGTTTTGGTTACAAAATTGTTCAAACATTTATTTTAACAATATAAATGTAATTACGGTATAGAGTCACTCAAAGCACAAATATATTAGTCTAAAGTCAAAATCAGTTAAAAGTCTGAAATGTGTTTTTTTTTTTACTCTTATTTTGAAATTCAATGGTCCAAATAGATTATTCCTACATTATTCTTGTTGTAATTTAGGTTTTGTTTTCAATAATACTATTTTAGTGATTGGTTGAGGGTTTTGGGGGGTTTATTTGTGGAGTCATTACTGGTGCTGTAAGAACAAAACCAATTTTTGTCTGTTCTTCCTAAAAAGAGCAGTTGGCAGGTTTATATTTTGTAAAAACTGAACAGTCAAAATGGAGATACAAGATTTGTTCTTACTGCAATATTATATTTTATTTTGATTTTTTTTCCTGATTTTTAACGCTTTTATTGCTGTTGTTTAAATGTTTGTCTTGATTTGCTGTTGTTAATGTCCTTAATAAAAATAAAAGCCCTTAATAATGCTCTTTATTGTATAACTCATTTTGCTAACATTTTATTTGAGTTGTTATTTTATATATAATTAATAAACACCAACAAATTAACAAAACATATCAACTAGTGAAACCTCTGTAGACATTAAAGTGAACACTATATTACAGTTTGTATTGTTGCAAGAGCAATTGTGAGGAATCTGGCATAAATACATTGTAAATGTTACTGAATGTATTTGAAAAGTTTGTACCATTTTTAGAGAGATGAGGTTTTGTCCTGACAACAGTGATAATAAGCCTTAGTATGTAATAAGACTGGGCTCTGATTTTGGTGGTTGCCCATTTTATTTTGTATTGCACTTCAGTCAGCATTAAAATTGTCAGCATCATTACATATTGATACTCACTGATGCCCTTTTCATATCTATTCACCTGCTTATTTATTACTGAATAGAATGGCAAGTATTTCAACATAGAAGTTTATCCTTCGGCAGCATCTTACCAGTACAGCACTGTTTCCACTAAATTCCATAATTGAAGGCACATGGAAAAAAAAAAAGGATGTCCAGATGTCCATTGTCTTCATAGCTAATATCACATTTCTAATATACTGGCCATTGAAAAGAAGTGAAAAATAGAAGTTTCCAGTAAAGGAGATGGGAATTTTATTTCAAACATACGTTTTGCAAAGCATGTTTGGCACAAGAGAGTCCACTAGATGTTTTCCAAGATTGAAGGGATACAGATTATTTGGGGCAAGTCCCTACGTACGCATAGTACTCTCTACAGTCACAACCCTGCAGTTAGAGACCCACACCTGTCCTGACAGCAGGATATGATACAGATGTTGTACACCACTGCACTGTGTCAAAATGTTAAAAAATGCTGTGAAAAAGTGACTTTTTTATAGCATATCAGAGGATTCCCAATGCTTTGCAGAATTAAGGTAAAAAAAAAGCACATTTACTGAACTTCTTCCACAGTTCTTTGTGGCTGACACTTGGGAACTCCTTGGATCTTTTTGCAAATTCAGGGATGTAAAGTTCAGGGCTGTGTTCACAGGCATTGGGTCAAAAAAACTGCAATTTTAATCCAAAATGAGCATCAGTAACACAAACCTTAAAAGTTTAAATCATGTCGAAAACCAGAAGCAGTCAAAAACCAAAGCAGGCCCAGTAATGCATAAAGGAACAGCAAGCAAAACATGAAACCACAGAGTTTAAGTGCATGGGTAGATGTGTCCCAGCAATCCGGAGGTAAGAATGATTAGTAGTGATGGAAACTAGTAAGTATTCTGTGAAAGATGGCCCTTGATGATGGGTACAGAAGGTGTGCAAGGGCCCCATCTGGTGGGCCATCTGAGTAACAGCAAAGGTCAGACTGACAAGTACACACTCCATTATACAGAATTACAGGTAACACTTCATTACAATGTTTACAAATAAGTTATTAACTGATCATCAATACTGTGAACAACTTATTAGTTATGAGAATGTACAACACACTATAGCATTAATAAACAATGAGTTGTACATCAGTACAGCAGTTACTAATTATGAACAGTTTCAACTTTTGCTAATGTACAATGTCTATTACTACAAATTAGTATAACTTAACAGACATTAGTTATAAAATAATTTAGCTATAATACATTTTGTTAGCACTTATACACGATATGGACAAAAGTATTGGGACACCCCTCCTAATTATAGAGTTCAGGTGTTTCAGCCACACCCATTGCTAACAGGTGGATCAAATTAAGCACATAGTCTTGCAGTCTTGATAGAGAAACACTGACAGTAGAATGGGTCACACTAATGAGCTCAGTGACTTTAAACATTGTGCTGTCATGGGATGCCACCTCTGCCACAAGTCAGTTTGTGAGGTTTCTGCCCTGTTAGATCTGCCCCTGTTAACTGTAAGTGCTGTTAGTGTAAAATGGAAGTATTTAGGAGCAACAACAGCTCAGCCACAAAGCAGTAAATCAGGGTGGGACTGAGTGGTGACGCGCACAGTGCCTACCCTCTGTTGAGTCACTAAAGAGTTTCAAATTGTCTCTGGAAGCAACATCAGCAAAATAACTGCACGTTAGGAGCTTCAGGAAATGGGTTTGCATGGCCGAGCAGCTACACACAACTGCATGACTGCATGGTGCCAACTGTTTGGTGGAAGAGGGATGATGATATGGGGTTGTTTTTCAAGGGTTGGTCTAGGCCTCTTAGTTCCAGTGAAGAGAAATCTTAATGCTTTAGCAGACCAAGACATTTTGGACAATTCTATGCTTCCAACTTTGTGGGAACAGTTTGGGGAAGAACCTTTTGTGTTCCAGCATGACTGAGTTCCAGTGCACAAAGCAAGGTCCATAAAGGCCTGGCTGGGTGAGTTTGGTGTGGGAGAACTTGACTGGCCCTCACAGAGCCCTGACCTCAACCCCACCAAACACCTTTGGAATAACCTAGAACGGAGATTGTGAGCCAGGTCCTCTCATCCAACATCTCTGTCTGACCTCACAAATGCTCTTCTGGATGAATGGATAAAAATTCCCACAGACACTCTAAAATCTTGTAGAAGCTTCCCAGAAGAGTGGAAGCTGTTATAGATGCAAAGTGAGACCAACTCCATATTAATGCCTATGGATTTAGAATGTGATGTCATAAAAGCTCTTGTAGGTATGATGTGTAGGTGTCTACGACTACTTTTGTCCATATAGTGTACATACTGAAAAATAGGCTTATGCCACTATTAGAAAGTTATACATATCAGTAATTTGCTGCAATGATTTATAGACATATATATGACTGCACCTGAACCATTACTAAAACTATTACTAGAACCATTGTTTTTACCCTTTTTAAAAAGTGTAGTTTATGGAATTTTAATGTAAAGTGTTACATTTTAAAAACTTTTTTAAAAAGCTTTTTTCATAAGGTGAAGAAAGTAGTAGTAATAATAATAATAATAATACTAATAATGATAATAATAATAATAATAACAATAATAATAATGGCTACATGTGGGGTTACAGTACACCACACTACAGACTGACGACACAGAGGGAGTGTCTACCACAAACACTTCCTGGTTATCAGAGAAAGGGAAAGAAAAATCAATGGCAGCATCTTGAAATTCAGGTAGGCTCTCATTTCATACTATGGATTTTTTTCATTTTTTCAATGCTTTTCAACTTTTATTTTGGACTCTTTGTGCAGTATTAGAATGCTGTAGTATTAGCAGAGTCTCATTTTCATCACAGTACCTGGAAGGTAAACAGCATTTTCCAGACAGATTTTACAGTAGTGCTTGAAAGTTTGTGTACCTGTTAGAATTGTCTATATTTCTGCATAAATTTGACCTAAAATGTCATCAGATTTTCATACAAGTCCCAATAGTATATATGGAGAACAAAATAAACAAATAAGACAGAAACATTAGAATTCATGATCCAGTATTACATATCTTGTACAGGACTTGTGTGAAAATCTGAAGGGTTCACAAACTTTCAAGCACCACTGTAGGAGTATAACAAATTAGGCATGGATTGTGAGTGTCTCTGAAAACATGTAGAAACATGCCGTATGCTATCATATCTCAGGTGGATGCGAACTGGTGTTTAGACTGACCTTGTACATCTAACAGTGGACCGGTTTAGCAGGTTTCTTTATTGCTGCTTCTTTGCCCTCCAAACGTAGTGATAATTCCAACTATAGCTATATTTTAACATATACATAACCTCACAGCTCAGAGTAAGAAAACTTGCAGAAGTAAACAAATATCAGTCTAATGATTTACATGTCTGTTTATAACTTATAAAGGTTTTAAAGGTTTTTGTTATTTAGTTTATGCTTAATGAAAGGTGTATCGTGCTACAGATCTGGGTCATGTTGTTGCTAGGTAACCAGTGACCACAGTTTCCTGCAAAACAAGACTGCAAGCAAAGCTATTTGTATATACTGCTACAGTGAAAGGGTGCACTTTAACCAAAGTCACACGTAAACCTGTTTTGTATTGCAGTAACATCCTTATCATTTAGGATGTTACCACAAAGCAAAGCAGGCGAATGTGTGACTTCTGTTTGGTTAAAGTTACTTTTTTTGGTCTTTGCTTGATGGGAAATGCATTAAAGATGCAGTTTTTAAGTCAAGTGAGTTTTGATTAACCACTGCACCACTAGCACCACTAAATAGTTTTAGATGGACACACTAAAACATTACAGTGGTAAGTTCTATGGTAATGAGAACAGCTCCAATATGCTGTTTCTTT